ATTTATACAGGTTAGCTGTATCTTTTTTTTTTTTTCTGATTGTTGGAAGATAAAACTTTAGGGGCTCAAGGCAGCTTGTATTCATTGTCAGCCTGTTTTGTAAGTGACAGTAATTTTACAACTTTTTTCTCTTTGATTTTATGAGCTAAAACTAGAGAAAATTATAGTGTATACTTCTGAGTAAAAATCCTGCAAGGTGCTGAGCTGTTCAGTAACTTTAATTGAATTAGATGAGAGCTGAAGACGCTCAAAGGATGAGGTTTCTAGTCTACCTCAGTGACTTCTTGTTTATGGGCTACCGGCCTATATAAACACGGGTGGTTGTGTCAGTTTTTTCTGCATACTTACTGTTTACTAGCTTGATACTGATAAAATTAGAAGCTATTTAGCTTTCCCTCAAATAATTTACAGCTCTTCCAAATTTTTTCTCATAGGTGTATGTCATTTAGTATACTCATACCTGAACACAGCTCTCCATAATAATCAGAGGTAATACACTATACTGAAATCCTCTCTCTTTTATATTGTTCAAATTTGAATAGGATAATTGAACATGTACTTTGTAGCTTAGTCAGTCCTTCATAGAACAAAGGCAGCTACTCACTTTTTTGACTTCAGAACTTCCCACAGAAGTAGAGTTTTGTTTCTCTAGTGACAAGTATTGCTTCCTATTAATTAGGCTTTCTTCTGTGGGCATCTGGGCTAGCTGCTGTCAGCAACGTATCAGTGAATTAATGCGAGCAAAATAATCTGATATCTGCTCGATATTTTTATTCTCTCAAATGGAACAACTATTGAGAAAAGTGTTAAGACACCTAGATTTGTTGGCTATAGAAAGTTTTGGGGTTTTTTTTTGTAATTGTAGTAATGCAAATAGAAATTATTTGGACCCTGAGAGGCTTAGCTAAATAAAAACTCTGCTGTTTGGCATAAGGGAAATGAGGGTATGGCATTATGTATAATAATTTGCATTTAACACAGAAGAAAGCATTTGTTTTTCGTTAATTGGGTAAAAAGGCAATACAGCTTTGCCCTTTATTAATTTGTTAGCTTAGAATGTGGTCAGAGTGAGTAATAAGGCTGATTTGGAGTCAGGCATTTTGATAAGACATGTGAGATTAAGTTGTTTCATGCATGAGCATTTTGTCGAAAACCCTGCATGTCACTGTGCTTTTAGTGATGTTGTTAACATAAACACAATGTAAATGGAAATTGTTTTCTATCTAATGAATAGAACAAGGTAACCTAAATGCATCTTGATACATTAATTTAAACCAACCTTTAAAAGAGGTAAACAATCTATAAGGAGCATGCTTAATTGGGTAATTCTTCTGTGATTTTCTACCATATTGTGCATCTGGAGTCATCTTGCGTTACCAGCCTAAGAAGGCTGTGAGTATGAAACATATAACAAATTGTTATAAATATTTTTATTTGCAAGGGTACTTCTTATGTCCAGCAGCAAAAGGAATATTAGCATTGCATCTTGGTTTCTGCTAAAGCAGAACCTGCAGCTTTCTGTAATACTTTCAGTGTTTGATCAGAAATGGTAAAAATAAAGCGGGTTAATTGAAGCCTTTTTAATCTTAATCTAATCTGACAGTCAATAAAAATGTGAGTAGATTTTATTAGTATAGCACTAATAATTCTGCCATTAACAGGAAGAAACTTGCCTTGGATTTACAACACACTAATTCTTCTTCAAGCTTTTTCTATTGCTGTTCTGGGACTAGAGGAGCTCAGAGGTGTCTGATACTAGGTTATTTGTCTTTTTGTCTGCCTGTGTGTATTTGCTGAGCCAAAGTTTATAGGAGACATAAAAGGTGACAAATTTAGGGAAGCCTCTTTGTTTTAGGATCCTTAAACTCAGTCTAAACTAGCTTTTTGGCAACCCTTAAGTTCCAGTTAAACAAGCTTTGAAACTGGGAAAGCCCTTTGCTTCTCAGAGTTGGTCTCTTACATTGCTTAGCTTGCTTGAGCTTTCTAGACAAAATTACACTCACTGGTCTGTAAATTAGCTTCCTTCCTTTATTAACATACTTGATGTTAACAAACCTATAAAAAATCAGCAGCAATTCTCTTCTCTTCTGTTTGTGTTTCAGCTGGAATAGTCACAACAGAATTTGAAGTAATTAAATATTCTGGTCATGCTTTGCACTAGAAGTGTGTTATTTTGATCATCCTTTGCATAACCAAACATTTTTATGAAGCTGGATCAACCTTTGTTTTCTCTTTTTGTACAATACCTACCTAATGCAATTGGACCCTGATCTGTGATGTGGTCCCCTGACTTTGGACAAAACAAATACATGGTTTTACCTCTTAAGTGCTTTAGCTACAGGACTTTGAATGACATTAATGGGAGTTACATAATGAAACTTCCTTTCCAGTTTTGCAGACCTCAGCCTTCTCATCCAATCTGCTCAATACTCATATTTTGAAACTATGCTGTCGTTAAGTGTACACAGTAGTGATATAATGGAATACAGGTATTGTTGCTACCATATCCCTCGTCTAGAGTTACAAAATTTTATTATTGTGAATTACTGATATATTAAATATGCATTATTTATTAGATTGGAAGATTCAGTAGATGTGTATTAATCAGGTTGATGTAAAACCAGCTTCAACAGCCATTGAAGAAGTGGCCAGGTAAAAGCCTTTCACTTAGTGGCAGAAGTTCTCTTTATTTATCCTGAGAATGTCTATTGCAGAGACAAGAGGTGGTGCAAAGATTTTCATAGGATTGCCCACACATCTGTCTTGGTTATGATAATCTCTAAAGGAGAGAAAACAGACAAGTTACTTTCAGTTCCATTTAATCCTTGACCTCTTAAGAGCCTGATACTAAGGGATTCAATTAGTGATAAGCGGAGTGGTAGGTTGAGTGATTCCTCCCTAGGTACTCAAATCTCACAATTCATACAGAGAAATAAGAACTACATCCATTTCTCTCTGCTTTAGCATCCTTCAGGTGAGATTTTTACTTGACTTGCCTAATAATGAAAGGCCTGTGCAATTATTCTTTGTCAGTGAGCAATCAGTTGGGCTGTGTGTCTGTCCATCAACCTTGGTCAACATCTTCTGAACTTGTAAGACAATTTCAACTAAATTGGCAAACAGAGGGAAGTCACAAAAATAAATGACAAGTTTTGTGACTGGGCAGACAAGGAGGACTTTATTAGTGGATTTGTTAGGTTCCTGTGAAGATACATGGCAAAGATATTCCGACACTGGGAAAAGATTCAAGCAGATCTTGCAGTTGACCATAAGATGCAAGGCTGGAGGAAATGAGGCTTCATTAGTTCTAGAACTACTGCTTGGTTTTCTTTTTCTTTTTAGGTCTCATTGTGGGAAATGTCAGTTACTGACAGATACAAAGAGCCTGACTCTTAGGAATGTGGATGTTATAATCTCTTATGTGCTGCTCACTGGGAGCCCTACCTGTCAAACACTGTGGTGAATACAGAATGGATAAGCATGACAAAGTCCAACTGTATTCATTCAGATGCAGTATTAGGGTTTGTATGCCAGTTTTAATATGTAGGTACTCAGGCCCTTCCATCTATTCTGAGTATTTTTAGGTTATTCTACAAATGTTGAGTAATCTTTACAGTTTCACACGAGATAGGCCATGATGTCAGGATCAAAATTATTGAATTCCTAATAATGGAGAAATCACCCCTTCATGTTAGTTGATAACGATTGTGGTCAATCAGTGTTTTCTTAACAATTCAGAGGTGCAGAGGTGCAAAAGATGGAAGGTGACACGCTCAACATGCAAGTGTTACCCCAGCAGGAATGCCTTTCCACTCGTGTGTCTTCTGTGAACTGTTGAATCACTGCCTAATTTCTGTGCCCTAAAGAACATGTCCAAACAGCAATGATTCAAACAAGCGTTTGACCACCAGCTGTCACTGAGACCAGTTTGCAAAGTCAAGGGGGTTTCGTATAGAAAACTAACTTTCTGCCCACTTAAAACCAGGTGTTTTTCCCCTTACAAGGGTTGTGGTTCAGAGGGATAAGACACTGTGAGGAAACCAGCTCCCTATAGCTTCTCCTAGTCCTTCTGAGCTTTCAGTATTGCCTCCAGAAATCAAGATTTGGAAAAAAACAAATCGGCTTGCTTTTTACACAAGATGTAAAGTGCTTCAGGAATGAATTTAATATATGGCCCCTTCAAGAGTCCCAGGGGTAGCTTCTGGTGACCTGGGCCAGGTGGTGCTGCCTGCCTGAGTTCCTGCGGGCTGCCCAGGCTCCTGCTGGCAGGGTGTTCGGGGCAGAATCTCCGAAATTGGCAGCTGGAAATTCCCAGAGGAGGTGCAATTCCTTCTGTTAATTCAGATACAGTGCTGGAGGAATGAGGGGAAGGCTGCGCAGAGGCTGTTTTGAGGCTGTGGGGCTGCGCTTGGGACTCCGAAAGAAGAATTTATTAGGAGCTGCGGAAAAAGCACATAGGATTATTTGTTTAAATTATTTTTAATCTGTATTCTTTTTGAAATGTGAGAGTCATCCTGAATTTGAAGCTGCCTTATAGTTTGAGCCACTACAGTAATAACAGGGCAGGTTACCAGAAGTCTCCTAGCACTGAAGGCGTACAGCTAATACGTAATCATATAGCTTGCTGAAAGTCATTTTTACATGCATTTGGGATGCCCGGGTTACTTTAGGTCATTACGGTAGTCATCCCAGGCCTGTAAATGGTATAGTTAAACCAGTGGATACTATTTTTTCTATTAATCTTCCTAGAAAAGCCTTTGTAATCCTAATTTTCTAGGCCATTAGGGTAAAGGCAGATTACAACTAAAGCTGGTTTACTAACTTCACTCACCCTGGTTTTGCCCAGCCCAGATCTGTTCTGTTAGGTGTCATCTAACGTGTCTGCCTGTAGCTGGAGTCATTACTTCCCTTGGTGGTCATTCAAGCGTGTTTTCTGACATTTAGGCCTGAGCAACCTTATCTTACTGTGAAGTTAGATTCGGCTTCAGAGCTGGCCCTGGATGGCGCAGCAGGTTGGACCGGGAATGCTCCGGAGGTCCCTGCCAACCTCAATTACCCTGTGATTCTACCCTGCTGCCTCTCACAGCATCAAACCGCCTCACGAGCCCCAGTGTATTCACCGGTGCGCAGCACGCTGCAGTGGAGCAGGAAGAGCATCCCGTCTGTGACGCCTCAGTCTTCTTCCACCTGTCTGTTCTGAGTCACGCCATGCTGCACAGCCCCAGCCGTTGCCCCTCCTGGCCGTGCCCACGCTGCCCCGAGCATTTATTCCCCGGTGCTTCCACGGATCGGTCACAAGTTACGCGTCACCCGTCCGCACAGTGGGCAATCCTGGATTAGCAACCGGCCGTGGACAGTGCAGGTGAGAGCCTGGTGGCTCCCTCCCGGGAGCTGAGGGGCCGAAGAAAGGGCAGGCTCCCGTCCTCCACGGCAGCACGTCTCGTCTTAATCACAAGAATCCTGTTTTTGCACCTGCTCCGTTTGCTCCTCGGCTTCCAGCCGCTGGCAAACAGAGCCCTTCTGACTTTCTTCACGGCATCCTCCTGGGACTCACGGGCCCGACCAGGGCCATCCGCTGTGCCGGCAGAGGCAGGGCTCGCGTGCTGGCCCCCAGCCACCCTCGGCCCGTGGCGCGCCCTCCCCGCGGGGCCGGCGGATCTTCCTCGCAGCGCTCTCCGAACGCCCTTCCCCGGAGCTCCAGCGTGGAAACTTCACAGCCGGCGGGCTCGGCCGCTGCCGGGACGTTCCCGCCTCGGCGGCGGAGACCTCCCCGCCCC